CAGTTGTAGTATCTGTATTACAGTTAGTGAGAAAGGATACAGTTGTAGTATCTGTATTACAGTTAGTGAGAAAGGATACAGTTGTAGTATCTTTATCACATTGAGGAGAAACAATGTATCTGTATTATCTGAAACATGATTTTTTTACACTGTTTTCCTATCAGACATTGTTAATAATACCTTGAGTGATGTATGGTAAAGAATTTGGAAGTAATGGTGATTTGAAACATTTGTTGATTTACATTAGAAAAAATGATGGATGATACACAGATTTTATGTTTGTAATTAAGCACAAAGCTACACATGGGCTATCTATGTTCTGATCACCATGGGTATTGAAATCCAGTTTCTAACATTGTAAGTCTGTAGACATATTGCTCTGCCACTGGGGTGCCAGATTTTGTGACAATAAAGTCATACACATAGTTTACACTTATAGGTATATTAGGTCCTGACACAATGGGGATAATCTTATACTAGTGTAGTACACAAAAACATATTTGGAAAGAATATCAGAGGATGTATAGCATAAAGAAACCATAAAGTTTATAGCAATGGTTTCAGATTTGTAAAAGTAACAAATTAACTGCAATGGAAATAAACTACCCATTTGTGAAATGTTTGGCAAAATTTTTAGATACAAAATTATGTTATGTAACTCTAGACATCTTAATATGAAGCATTAAAATGGAATCATTACTAATTTGTTAGTGGGGAGGAATTTCCACTTAGTTTTTCAAATTATTTTCTAAGGAGTTCTTTAATTATATGGAAATAGTTGTACTCATTCTACAACAATTAGCTGTAGTATTTGATGTTAAATGTGAGGTTTTTGTATCAGTTGAAATACACACAATACATCTTCAGTAAAGTAGGCTTCCTAGTTTTTATTATTGACCAAAACATGTTATATAAGATACTGTATTAATTCTTTGGATACATGTAGGTAAAAATGTGCATGTCACAATGTTTTACAGAGTACAATTCAACATTTAATTAAATTAGTTTATTATCAATGCATAGCAATAAACTTGGTATGAAAAAATTGTTAATAAATCAAATGTTAATATTATAAAAGTTTTAATTTCTTGATTTTAGAAGGAAATATATAAATAAATTCTCAGACTTCACTTTTTTGTATCATGTAACACTTGTTTCCTCTATGTTGCACATTTTAGATAATCTTTCCATTTCTATTTGAGCCTATGAGTTTTAATGCAAATTACAAACATGCATATTACTAAGAAGTAATCTAACTATTATAGCCTCCAATTATCTTAATATACTTAGATATAAACTAAAAAGTCAAATCCACATGCCATACCCTTCTTTCAAATACTGTCTTTCAAAAATATTAGTAATTCTCCCTGATAGTTGCTGTAACAATATTTATAATAAATAAAAAGAAAAGGTTTTAATTTACTGTTTAAGTTTAATGCCATGTCATTCTCTTAACAACTTTTGAATTATTTGGCTTACTGATTCACAGTTGCTATTGCCAAGTTCAGCTTGACCAGCTAAAGGAATTATTTTAAGGAACTTATAGCTTAGTTAGAAGGTTATTTAAGTTATAATAATTATAGGATATTATATGTTTTGTACATTTTATTATTTTGTGTTCTATATTGATAATTTTATTTTTAGATGTAAAGACTGGCATGAACAACTGTTGTGGAAATAAGTTTCATGGTTTTCATGACTCAACACAAGAAAATTCTCAAACAGAAATCAGTAAGACTCAGAAGTCAAACACAGGTGAGGTGTTTGAAAAAAATAATTCAAAAAGAAATAATCTAAAGCAATATGAAATACCCCACACTGAGGAAAAACCATATGGTTGTGGAATCTGTGGAAAAGGATTTGTTTGTAAAAGTTATCTAAGGAAACATGAAAAGATACACTGTTTGGAGAAACTATACAGATGTGTAGTGTGTGGCAAAGAATTTGTAAAAAATCACAACCTGAAAATACATCACAGAATCCACACTGGGCAGAAACCATATAGTTGTGTTATCTGTGGAAAAAGATTTGTAAAAAATCATAACCTAAAAATGCATCAGAGAATACACACTGGTGAGAAACCATACAATTGTTTTATGTGTGGGAAAGATTTTAGAACTAAAAGTGAACTAAATATACATCAGAGAACACATACTGGGGAAAAACCATTTAGTTGTGTTATCTGTGGAAAAGAATTTGGAAGAAATACTGACCTAAAACTGCATGAGAGAACCCACACTGGAGAGAAACCATACAGCTGTGGCATCTGTGGAAAAGAATATGGAAGAAAGTTTAACCTAAAAATACACCAGAGGACACACACTGGTGAGAAACCATACAGTTGTGTAGTGTGTGGCAAAGAATTTAGAAGTAATTGTAAGTTAAAAATACATCAACGAATCCACACTGGTGAGAAACCTTACAGTTGTGTAGTGTGTGGCAAAGAATTTGGAAGAAGTGGTGACCTAAAAATACATCAGAGAGTTCATACTGGAGAGAAACCATACAGCTGTGAAATCTGTGGAAAAGAATTTGGAAATAATTGTAATCTAAAAATGCATCAACAATTACACACTGGAGAGAAACCATACAGCTGTGTAGTGTGTGGCAAAGATTTTGTAAGTAAAAGTTACCTAAAAAAACATGAGATTGTACATACTGTAGAGAAACCATACAGTTGTGTAGTGTGTGGCAAGAAATTTCATAGGAGTATTAACTTAAAAGATCATGGAAGAATACACACTGGGGAAAAACCATACAGTTGTGTAATCTGTCGCAAAGAATTTATTAGTAATAGTAGCTTAAGAAAACATGAAAAGACACACACTAGGGAGAGTCTAAAGCTGTAAGTGTTGGATGAAAGTATTTTGTTGTGAATTTTATTTTATTTTTTCAGTTGTATCTGTAGATATAAGGAGAGAAATTGGTGGGGTTTGGTTGAGAAATTGGAAGTAATAGTCACATTAAAGAATAATACACAAAGATTCAGAATAAAGATAAAACACAGAAATGTGAACCGTGCATTGTTGTAATGTCAGTAACAGATAATTTTCAAAGTTCCTTTGTCAAGAAACCTTATTAGTTACAGAGGAGATATTTATAGATGTGTTTAGCATCTGAAAAAGAAATGAGAAGTGGCAGTAGTGGCCTAAAACACCAGGTGATTAGAAGCTGTATGGAAACTGCAGCTTGGAATTTCAGTTACATTAGTTCTTATAGATTTTAATTACCTAAACTGTGAGTGAAAGTTCAGTAGCTGTTTGCTGACTGATTAATGTAAGCTTCATTTAAAAAATAAGAAGCATCTTCACCCATAGCATAGTTTCATTTTCACCTATACTAATTATTTGAACAGATTGGGGGCTGAGACAACATAGAATTCACCCAGTGCATGTGAAACAATGCCTTAACTGTCCTTGAACCTAGGATTAGTATTCTTTTAAATGATCTCCCAGTCTTCTAACAGTTGAGCCAATGTAAGCTCCCCCATATGTTATGCAGTAGAATTCATAATTAACACATGAATGTCAAGAAAACTGAATACAACCTTTAAACCTGAAAAATTCTGAATTCTCAATAAAGGTCTTGTGTTATTGATGAATTCTGCTTCCATAATGTGGGAGCACTTACTTGAGCTCACTGGGAGATCACTTAAAAGAACACTAATTCTAGGCTCAAGGATTGTTCTGTGTGCACTAGGTGAATGTGATGTGGTCCCAACCACCAGTATATTAAAATTAATCACTAAAGCTATACTACAGGTAAAGGAGATGGTTCTAGTCCTTTAAATAAAGGCTTGATGAAACAATCAACAAACAGATACTAAACTTTTACTTTCCATTCAGGTAGTTGAATTTTTATTTACACGTTCAGGTTGTACAGTAGTTCTTGTTTAGAATAAGATACAGAAATGAATATATGACATGGTTGGGAAGTGTGTCAGATCTTGAAAGGCAAGTCTGATTAGAATAGAATACATAAAATATTAAATGCAAACTTGTAAGTGTTCTGTGTTTGGATGGAAGTACTTGTTCATGTGATTACTATTTTTTTACTGCTCAGGTTTTTTTACTTACGAAAGAATAGGTGTAAACATTTTACAAGAATTAGGTTTACTCTTTGATGTTAACAGATCACATATTCATAACATTTACAGAATGCATCAGTTTTATAGTTCAGCTTTTGTAGTTTTTAACTAGTTTTTTGTTATGTATATCCCATTTTAATGTTTAAAATATATTTTAGGATTCCAAAGACGTTTTTGAATGAGAATTTCAAAGTTAATGTATTCACTCCCTCTTTTTGTAATCACCTTTTTTTGACATACACTCCTACTTTGGATGAGAAAGTTACATTCATATGAGAGCACTAGAGAGTAAATTTTTTATTTCACTTTTACTTTATAAACCACCAAAAAACTGTCATATCACCTACATCAAAATTATATTTCCTTCTCATATGTGTTTTATAAGTTATGGTAATCAAGCATGTCTGTGTATATTGTTTTGTATAAGTGTGTTAGCATTAAACACCAAAGTGGTGATAACCTGCTAAACTTTTATTGATATTATTTCTTTGTAAAAGGTTTCTTGCATATCTGCTTAAATTCTACAAATAGTTACATTAACATTCTCAGTATAAAATAAATCTCAATGAATATGCACATTTTTTATCATATACTACCCTTTAATCATCTGAAATATAATGAACTCCTAGTTCAAAAAAAGTTTATGAATCCTGACAATGTATAATTAACCTTGGTGCTTTTCTTTGAATGTAATGTATAAAATTTTAGGAATAAAATAAGTAAACTCACAAACATAGCATTACTGCCTGTGGTCTGTGTTAAACTCTTACTTATCTTATTTCTGTCTTATTTTTTACTGCAGAGACAGAGAATCAACACATCGTTAAACTACTATTAGTTTTAATTCAAGAAATTATGTAAACTCACTTGATCTAAGACTATCAAAATAGTTAAACTTTGTTATTTTTAGTTGAAGAACTTATGTAAACTAACTTGATCCAAAACCAGCAAAGTAACTAAACTTTGTTAGTTTTAGTTAAAGAGCTTATGTAAACAAACTTGATCTAGAACCAACGAAATAATTAAACTATGTTAGTTTTAGTTGGAAAATTTATGTAAACTGACTTGATATAGAACCAGCAAGGTAACTAAACTTGTTTTAGTTGAAGAACTTATGTAAACTATCTTGTTTTACAGACAGCAAAGTAACAAAACTTATTTTAATTTTAGTTGAAGAATTTATGTGAACTAACTTGAACTCAAAAATAATACTCCTTTAGTTAATTGTGACACACAGAGGTGGCTGTACTAAGGCAGGGCTTGTTTGGGGATTGTAACACCCCCCCCCCCCAATTCTCACAACTAAATACAAAAAATGATGATCATTAACACTGTGAATTCCCTTAACAATTTTAAACACTTCAGTCAGATCCTCTCCAATTCTTCTTTTTTTCAACAGAAAACAAGTTCAGAGATCTTAACCTGATAACTTAACCTATAATAACTTTTCCATCCTAGTATTGTTTGTTTGGAATTAAGCATAAAGCTACACAATGGGCTATCTGTGCTCTGCCCACCATGGGTATCGAAACCCGGATTCTAGCATTGTAAGTCCGCAGACATACCGCTGTGCCACTGGGGGGGCCCATCCTAGTAGCTCTCCTCTGAACCATTTCCAACAATTTAATGTCCTTTCTGAGATAAGGAGTCAAAGGCTAAGCACAATATTCCAAATGTAACCTAACTAATGACCAATACAATGACATTATAACCTCTTTAGACTTGTATCCAATATTTCTTTAGATACAACCTAACATCCTATTTGCCCTGCTATTAGCAATAGCATTATGCTTAGATGGCTTAAAAGACTGATCAACCAGAAAATCAAAATTTTTTTCGTCCATAACACTTTTATGGTAATTCCCTTCAAAATTATACCAATATTTCAAATTGTAATATTCCACAATTCTTTGCCATATTATAAAACAAATCAGTATTTTCATATGATATCTTAACTCATCTCAGATAATAGCTTTTCTTCTTCAGTGCTGCCTTCTATATGCACAATTTTCGCTTTCCACTAGCCTTGATACTTCCACCTACCCCCAAGTTTACACATGGCTGTAGCATGCGACAACCTTCCACCAATAGAGTTCCTACACACCCTTTGGGCACAGCTAAATCCATCTATACTGTAAAATCCAATTGTCACTTTCCGATTTGGCATACTAGATTGCAGACATATCTAATATTCGCTAGTGTTTGCTTCGATTTTTTTTTTCAAAGGTTTTTGTGGAACAGCTATTTTTGTTGAATCCAGCATATTAATTTTTCTTCTATACGCTAACTTGATACTATAGGTAGTTCTGGAAATTCCCAATCTCGGATCGAATTATGATTCACAATTTGAAGTTATAACAACAACTATTGTTGTTGCTATTGTCACTGAATCTCAATGTGCAGTTTCTCTGACTTTGAGCTTCACTCTTTCTGCTGAGGAGGTTTCAGTTTTAGTTCACCATGATTTTTAGTCAGTCATGCAGCCTACTGTGTCTTTTGACCCAAAACCATACTTATGATTTCCTGGGGAACTTGGTCAGGATGACAGGGATTTGGTTAGCCCGGTCCCACCCCCTTCCTTTGCAATGCAATATCGGGTCACAACTATGGATGCTCCCAGACATTCTTCTGCATTCCTTCATATGGTGTCCTGGGCCTCCTGTCACCAACAGTATTGGTAGCTATAATGTCGGTTGGAGTGCTTTCACCACTGATCCTTGGGTGCTTCAAGTGTTATCTGAAGGACTCTACCTTCGTTTTCTAAACCTTTATCCCCACATCCCATTCCCTTCTCTCCTCCTTGCAATCACTCTCCTGCTAGCATCTACCTGAAGTAGTTTGAGATATTCTTCACAGAGATGGTATTGAACCCATCAGTCAAGTTTCTCTAGGGTTCTATTCCTAGTTGTTCATATTTCCTAAGAAGACAGGGAATGGTATCTTCATTGATTATTCTCACTTTACCATGGAGTCTTTCTTCGCTCTTCAGTGGGCATTTACCACAGCTCTTTGGATGACAAATGTAGATATCTTAAATTCTTACCTTCACATCCTTATTTCCCTGACATCCAGACGTTACCCTCGTTTTCTCCACAAAGGTTGAGTATATCAATTCAATACTCTTCTCTTTGGTCTAGCTTCTACACCCTATATTCTTTTGGGTGGTCAGGGCCTATGTCCTCCTCCTCCATTCTCACAGTCTGAAGTTTCACCATTATATGGAGGACAGGCTTCTTTTAGCTCCATCCCAACAAACATCTCACATGCGCACATTTATGTCTCTGAGAGGCTGCTTGTGTGGGTTGGCTAGTCAATTTTGAGAAGTCCTTTCTCATCCTAACTCAATACCTTATCCATTTCAGAGTATTCTTCAACACCTCTTTCAATCTCAATTTGTTCCTTTCTGCTTCTTGATTCACATCATCCTATGCTCCTTCCAGTTTGGGACCTCAATGTCATTCTTCATGCCCTTATCTAACCTCCTTTCAAACCCTTCGCTACCTGTTCTATATATCACCTGTACTTGAAAACCAATTTTTTGCTCCTTTTTGCCTGTGGTCGTTACCCTCGACATTTCACATAACCTTTACCATTACGGCTATGTTCTTTGGTATCCTAATTTTCATTAGCTTGTGAAGGTGACATTCATACCTATTTCTCTCCCCTTCTATTTCCTAATTGTATTCCTGCTCCAAGCTCGATTGTCTTCTGTGTCCTTTTCATGCTCTCTGGTGTTATGTTGCCTGCATGGCTTCTTTATGTGGTGTCTATTCTTGCCTGTTTTTCCATTGGAACCCTTCCTCTACCCGAGACATTCCTCTTGTCACCCTTACAGGTTGGATTCACCAACTTATTCAGTTGGCTTATTCTTCCTTGTCTACTGATTCCAGTTCCTATTTTACAGGTATCCATGCACAAGATTCGTTATCTCATCCTCTCCCTGGCTCCCCACTTCTGTCACCCTCCTCCTACCACAGACCCAATGATAAATACTTTTGGATTGGAGTTGACCAGCAAAATATGGTCTAATGTGCCCTGGCCACTTTACACCATTTATCATGTCCAATTACGAATTGGATGTGCACTATTTCCACCCAATGTAGTGACATGTATCTTCACAATGTACCTGATAGATATGTGGTTTGGTCGCCCATGGATGTGTCTCTCTACATTTAGATCTCACACTCTATGGGCTTTCTTCAAATGCTATCTGAAGGGAGCTCATCTAGGTAAATTTTGCACAAGTTCCTCCACCAGTTCAATGTGGATTCTAGCTATTTTGTGAGGTAAGGTATTTTAGTGGAAGTCACAATTTTCCTAGACTAAAAACTTATTTCCAATAGATACCTCTTTTCACACTTCCCAGCCACCTTCTCTACTTCTGGTGCTTACTTTTTGCCTAATCTCTAAGACATTATTGGGTTTTATGGTATAAAGGGAGTCAGCTGCACTAGGACGGTGTATCACACTCCCTTTGGTGGAGTTTTTTTTTCACATGCTAACTTGCATGCAACAGTGCTACATTCAAACACATAGATGTAGGTGGGAATGCAGGGCTAATGGTGGGTGAAAATTTGTGCATATGGAGGTCAGTAATCATCGAGAAAGCTATTGTGTGAGAATAAAAAAGTATTTATTGGAAATACACATTCAGTGTGGGAGAATGTTAACTTTCATTAACACTATTTGAAATATGCATAATGATTACGAAATTTAGGAGATTAGAAACAAACAAATTGGTAACATAACTATGACAAAGAGAAAATCTAAAAAAAAAGATTTAGAATACATGTTAACTGTTTTAATTATACGTATCAGACTTAAAGATAAACAATAGTAGATTCAAGAATAATCTCAAGTTATTATTCTAATACTAGTGAAGCATTTGCAACATCTTAAAAGTATTTTACGCTATTTTCAAATGCTTCAAGAAATAAGTAATATAATTTTATAAAACTACATGTATGACATACATTCATGCAATATGAAAAAAAAGATGGTATTGGGAACCCACTGTTAATCTTATTTATATAAACAGATGCAACTGTAGCTGAAAAAAAGCTATGAAAAAGATTATGTTAATTTCCTTAAAGACTGGAACTTAATACTGTTACGTCTCCGTTTGTTAAATGATTTTCTGTAACTTCGTTCCGACGAAACTTAAGCGACACAAGTCCTTTCTTAATAAAACTGGTTTATTCTTTCCGAATATAACTTTACCGATACACTCAACTTCAACAATCGCGCTAAACAAACGCTATAACAACGAACGTGCTCAATAATACTTCTGACTGCAGATCAAATACTCACTGTCTACACACACACACTACATTACCCTGTCACGTTGTCACCCTCTTTTATATACCCGACTACCCTATAGTATTTACTAGATAGAGCATTCGCCAAAGTACAGGATAGTTCTAGAAACGTGGCGTCACAGTAGTCATGTGACTCGCTGACGCAACAAAAGCATTGGCAAAGGTTAATTAAGTTACGTCATAGACCACTGCAGCCGGTAATAGATCATCTGCCACCATGGAAGATCTACTCTCTAGACTCCAATAGTAGTGAAATTCTAGTCTGTTGTATACGCCATGTAAATAGTAAAATATTTTCAATGTTTGTTCAAACGAATGTTTTATTTTCTTTATTTTTATGTCTTTATCAGCCTGTAAGTAGTTCAGTGCCATGTGCAATCTGTTTTCTATCATATTCGGTCTGTATTTCTTTTGCTGTGAAGTACTTTGTTTTATCTTGCAC